CCCTTGACTTTATCGGCAACAAATCTTCCGTAGCTTTTGCAGCGTTTTTTATAATATTTTCTGGAATTTCTTCCATTTTATGCAATAAATTACTGCTCATTGACAGGAGTCAAAGTCACGTCAGATTAAAATCAGAAATTAACAAAGTACGTCAAACCGGTACAAATATACTTTTTTTTAAATGGTAAGGCTATTAGGTGAAACATAAAGCATTGTATGCACCACAGGCGATACGGAGATAATAATGCCCATCAGGCCGAAACCTATCCCTCGGGCTAGTTCGGCCCTCAGGGCATTATAAGGTCCGTAACGCCCTTGGTACATAAATATCTATTAGACACCGCTCTACAAACGTTGCATTTTACCTACCCGATATTTTTTTTAACAAATTACATAAGTTTCTTACAAAAAGCCTCTTATTTTCTCACAGCATGTTCAAACCTTTGAAATGTGATATGGACCGTTCATGTACATTTAACTGACTTCATTCGCGTCGAGTTACACGTGATCTTAATTTAGTGTTTAGTTAGTTACTGAATTTAGATAACGTTATTTTTCGTATGTACTAAATAATTGTAACGCAATTCCTTCAGTTTCTAGTAAAGCTCATAGTGTTTTTTTTTTCAAATAGTTAATGTCTTTTTTCAGTTGCACGATTTGTTTTCAGCTTCATTCAACTGTTGCCTTTCGATATCGATTATTGTAGTTCCAAAACCCGGTTAGTTGAGACATTTTCGAAAAATCACTATCAATTGCTAGATGAGTACAAACAACTGAAATTCTTAACACACAAACGGAATCGGATAAAACCATAACCATAGATGTGCATACAGTTTAGACGAAAGACTTTAAATAGGTAACATGTTTAGTGTAAGTAAAATCAGTTAGTTCTAGGAATCAGTAAGCGAATGAATATTGACTTACTTAACACGGACGATTAAATAAATTAATTTACATTGATTCAGGTTTCTTAACTGCACTTAGAGCATATCCTGTTGTAGAATATTGCTGTAAATAGAATTATTTTGTATATTTATTTTTACATTACTTTTAAGTCTTGCGGTTACACAGTAAAAGATAACATAGGATGATTGAGAAAACGTCTGATAGGTATTTGTAAAAAATCCTGTTATATAATTGTTAACTGTTAACTGTAAATTTTATCTAAATATGTGGGCTGATTAAAGAAAAATTGTTGTAGAACTTGGAAGGAAAGTTCAATGTAAGTTTTCTTTAATAGCTTCATGATCTAATGCTGATCGATGTACATCCTATTGTTCACAAGATGCAAGTACTTGTATAAATCAGTTGTGCTAGATGTATAAAGTATAGTTAAACATTTGGAATTCTCAATACCTCTCACTGTGTATATTAAGCGATTTTGTATTTCTGTCAGTATAAACTAAAAGATAATGGAAGATATACAAGACAATTGTTCCTCGTATTTATTTGTAACATATTCACCTGACAAAAACTTTTGTGTAAATGTTTGGTGTATTATTTAAAAATCAAACATTACTGTAGGTATTGGACTATGTCCCGGGCCCTTTGCAGCTTCACTTTATAGTCCTCTTCCTGTTCTTCTTTTGCGACGTTTTCATCCTCCTCTATAAACTTGATGGCTTGATCTAGAACGGATTTCCTGGACATTCCTTTAGAGCTGCTAAAGTACTCTACAACCGTTTCCCAAAACTCATTGGGAATTTTCTGTAGATCGAGCAGGTTTTGTTGCAGCCAAATTTGCTTGAGTTTTTCAAATTTCCATTCAGTTTTACTATGTTTCCATTTGGAGAGGTAGTTGAGGGACTTTTGTTGCAAATCCAGCTCGACCTTGTTTTTTTTGTCTTCTAGTAGCTTTGCCTGCTTTTTGCGCTTTCGGGATCTAATAGATTCCTTTTGTGGCTTTACCGACTCTTTTGCAGCGGGGATTTCGGCTTCTAGACTTTCCTGAACGGTCCCATTGTCTTCTATAGTCTGTTCTTCAACTGGTCGCTTTTTCTTCTTGGGTTTTTGGTCATTTGAAACATCGGCTGGGGCTTCCTTGGCTTTTCGTTTCCTTTTGGTTTTTTTCTTGCCTTCAGGCTCGGTTTCTTTAGTAGTTGAGTTGGAAATGGGCAATTTGCAGTATGCAGGATTTAAATCTTTGGCACTATCCTTGGTTACGACCTCTTCGTCAAAAGATATTTTGGACTTTCCGGATTTGCGCTTTTTGTATTTCATTTTATTTTTTTCCATACTTTAGTGGGTTTTTTTGCTTAATTTACTTTCGGGCTTTATATTGCACATGCATTTGAAACATTGGGGTTAGACTTTCAAGTCTTCCGACGTTCCTTCTCTAAAAGTTCAAGAGCAATAAGGACGAATAGACTGTTCACAGTTGAGGTTTTTTTAATTTTTTACTTGTGGTGTTGCCCAACTCCCTAAATCGTTTGATGTTATAAGAAATTTTATGTTTTTTTGCAGATTGCAAAATCCGCACAGACCCAGATTCGTTTAAAAGAAAGTTGGGTACACTGTTTAGAAATCACAAAACACCTGCACTCGTTTTTGCCTTCAATATCGTTCTTTGTATGGATCAGTCCTGCATAAATAATCAAAGTTAATTATAAAGCCAGATGAACATGGCAATAAGGCA